GCTGGGAAACATGAGTTCCCTGTGAGATCCACTGTATTTTGGGCTGCAGACCTGGAGGCTCTGAGGGCATCTGGAGGGTGCCCAACCCTGTCTCTGTGCTCCTCCGTGAGGCAGCCCAGGCTCACTATGTGGGCTTGGTGTCAGCCCTCCCCTTACCTGGGGGCAGGGTACTTTGGTGGCTCCTTCCTGAGCCCCCGTTCTCCCCTGTGTCTTTCAGTGAGCTCTTCTGCCCAGCAGACCCCCTGGCAGTGACCAGCATAGGTGAGTGGGTCCTGGCGGCATCATGGGTGATGAGTCAGGCTGCGTGGGGTCACCAAGTATTAGCCTTCAGGCAGGAGGTTTTCCTCAGGGAGTCGACCTGAATTTCCACTGTGGAGAGATGGGTTTGTCCTCTAGGAAAGCAGCTTCCTGGGGAATCAGACCCAAGACGATGCCTTCCCTGAAGCCCTGCAGGGGTGACAGTGGTCCAGTCTGGAAAGGGTTCCTTCAGTCTCATGCAGGGCAGCTCCCAGCTGACACTTGGTGTGCAAGTCTTTCCTCAAAGACTGCCCAAGACAAATGAGCGGGACAGCAGAGGCTCTGGGGTGGCACAGGGATCACATGGGGACTCTCCCTCCCCAGAGAGGGGTGGGCAATCAGGCCCATGGGGTCAGGTTGTGGAGATTCAAGGATCACGCCCCACTCATGACACTAAATGCGAATGACCCTGTTGAGCAGTGGGCCACCCCAGTGGCACCTCCATGAGCCTGGTGGGTGGCGACTCGGCTTCAACTGGTTGGGTCAAGGCTGAGCCATGGCTGGTGCTTTGTCGTGCTGTAGGCCAACCCTGGGACTCATGGGCTTTGGGTCAAGGACGCAGCCCGCCTGCTGCTGGGGGTCACCCCTTATTCGAGGTCAGTGGTGGGAAGGGTCACGTCCCCAGGTTGGAAGGCCCCCTCATGAGGGACCTGTCCTGGGAATTTGTGGCCCAGGCTGCTCCTGAGCCATGGGGTCACCTCCAGGATGGTGGGGTCTTGGGCCCAAGGAAAGGAGAGAGCACTATGTAGCTCCTGATTGGCCAAGTGTGGCCCAGCTCTGTGTTTGACAGGGGTCTGGGGTGTGTGTGAGGACCCACCAGAGAAAGCACGTGGCGCTTGACCCCAGGCTGCGATTGCTGGTGCGTGCTTGGAGAGGGAGCCTGAGCTGGTGTCCTCCCTGTACAGGGGCAGGCTGTGGGACTGCCAGGTTGACAGCAGTGCCTGGCATCCAGGCCAGCCTCCTTGGTTGGCCGTAAGCTGGTTGATGACCTTGGACCCTGCCCAGGGGTTCTGTTGTGGTCCAGAGTCGTGCAGTGGAGCCAGCATGGGCAGTGGAGGTGTCACAGGGGCTGCTGTATGGCACAGCCTGGGCATCTTGCCTGAACCCAGTGACTCGCCTACCCTGTCCTTTGAGAGTTTGGTGGCGGAGAGGGCCAAGGGTTCCCTGGGCCCATGATTGTCGTTATTTCATATAGATCCCATCACATGGGTCCATGGAGGGAGAGCATGTGTGAGCCAGCACACCTTCCTCCCTTTCCCAAACAGAGGCGTGAAGCCCTGTTTGGACACCTATCCCCTGTCCCTCCAGATGGTGACCCCAGAGGAAGACTTGCATTGTGCCCGCTGGCCCCAGGCCAGTGGCCGTGAGCCAGTTGCCCAACCCCTGTTGCGCTGAAGCTCAGGCCCTCCTGGGCCCTGGTCTCCTGCATTGAGCTTGGTGAGCACATCTCGGTCCTGCTGGATACGTGTGTGGGTAGGCGGGTGCCCTGGGTTGGGTCGATGATGAGAACCTTATATTGTCTGAAGAGAGGTGATGACATAAAAATCATGCTCAATAGGATTACGCTGAGGCCCAGCCTGGGTGAGAATGTTGGAAGAGGATGCTGGGAATTACGAGTTACCTGGCAGGACCACTGTATTTTGGGCTGCAGACCTGGAGGCTCTGAGGGCATCTGGAGGGTGCCCAACCCTGTTTCTGCGTTCCTCCGTGAGGCAGCCCAGGCTTACTATGTGGGCTTGGTGTCAGTGCTCCTGTCACCCAGGTGCGGGGCACTTTGGCGGCTCCTTCCTGAGCCCCCATTCTCCCCTGTGTCTTTCAGTGAGCTCTTATGCCCAGCAGACCCCCTGGCATTGACCAGCATTGGTGAGTAGATCCTGCTGTGGTCATAACCCATTAGCCAGGCTGTGTGGGGTCTCCAAGAGTCATCCTTTGGCCACAAGGGTTTCCTCAGGAGCTGAAGTGTATCCCCACCTGGGATGGGTTCTCCAGGAAGGCAGCTTTCTTAGGAATTGGACCCAAGGAGATACCTTCCCTGAAGCCCTGCAGTTGTTGCGATGGTCCAGGCAGTAAAGGGTTTCCTCAACCCCATGCAGGGCAGCACCCAGCTGAGACTCGGTGCTCATGTCAGGCCTCTAGGATGGCCAGGCCACATGAGGGGGACCACAAGGGCTCTGGGGTACCAAGGGGGTCTTGCAGGGGCTCTCCGACCTTGGGGAGGTGTGTGTGTGATTTGGTCCACGGGATCAGGCTTCTGATTTTCAAGGGTCTCTCTAAACCCATGGCCCTGAATGGGAGTGACCCTATTAAGCTATGGGCCATCCCAGTGGTGCATCTTTGAGCCAAGTGTGGTGTGGCACTGTTTCCATGAGGTTGGGTCAAGGCTAGCTCCAGTGACCCCATGATGGTACTGCAGTCTGGCCCTGGGACTCGTGGGCTTTGGGCCAAGCATACAGCCCATGTCCCACTGGGGGTCATACCTTCCTTGTGGGCGAGTAGTGGGAAGGGTGTCCTCCTGAGGTGGGAAGGCCTGCTGTGGAAGGACCTGTCCAGGCTGCTTCTGAGCTACGGGGCCACCTACAGGGTGGTGGGGTCAAGGAAAGGAGAAGAAGACACCATGCATTCCCCGATTGGCTGAGTGTGGCCCCGCTCTGTGTATGGGAGGTGTTGTGTGAGGCATGGATGGGGATGTATCAGAGAACACACGAGGCCCTGGGTCCCCAGGCTGCAATTTCTGGTGTGGTGTGGAGTGGGGCCTGGATACTCGCCCTCCACACACAGGGGCAGACTATGCAACTGCCAGATGGGCAGAGGTGCATGGCATGCAGGCCAGCCTCCTTAGTTGGCTATGAGATGGTAGGTGGCCCTGGCCTACACCCAGGGGGCCAGTACAGCCCTGGGGTCATGCGAAGCAACTGGAGTGGGCAGTGGAGTTCTCAAGGTGCCTGCAGATAGCCAGGGTGTCTTGCCTGAGCCCAGTGACCTGCCTGCCCTGTCCTTCCAGGGTTCAGTGGTGGGGAGGGCCAAGGTTCCCCCACGTCCATGACATGTCAGTGTTTCACATGGATCCCATCACATGGGTCCATGGTGGGAGAGCAATCATGAGCTGGCACCCCCCACCCCCTTCCCGTGTGGAGGCGTGAGGTTCCATTTGGATACATGTACACATCCTGTCCCCCAGATGGTGAGACCAGAGGAAAACTTTCGTTGGGCCCACTGTCCCGTGGCGAGTAGTCATCAGTCAGGTCCCCAGCCCCCAGTGCACTGAAGCTCAGGCCC